TTCCATTTTTATTGTTTTCAAATTATTCATAAAATTGTTCAAAATATTTTAATTTCATCCTTCTCCCCACACACCCAGTATGGGGGATTGAACCCTGGGCTTAACTACTAAACCACATCCCCAGCCCTTTTTTATTTTGACACAGGGTCTCACCAAGTCATTTAGGCCTAGCTAAGTTGCTGAGGCTGACTTTGAATTTGTGATCCTCTTGCCTCAGCCTACTGAGCCACTGGGCTCAGGCATGCACCCCCCATTACAGGCATGCACCAACCCATGCTTGGCTTATTTTAATATTTTAAAACTTTTACTTTGAAATAATTTTAGCATTGCAATTTTAGAGTTCTTCTGTACTCTTTAGTTGGCTTTCCCTAACATCAGCATCTTATATAACATTAGGACAATTATTAAAAATAAGAAAAAAAAACATAGATACTACTAACTAAATTGTAGACTTTATTTCCAGTTATGTCTTTTTATATTCCAGGTTCCAATCCAAACCACACTTTGCATTTAGTCACCATGTCTCCTTTGCCACCTCCAGTCAAGGACAGTTCTTTATGTTTTATGACCTTGACACTCCTGGTTATTTGTGTAAAGGGTCCTCAATTTGGGTTTATCTTTTTTTAATTTTTCTTTTCTCCTTTCTCATGGTTATTGAGGAATATTTTGGGAAGAATACTGTAGAGGTCATATACCCTTCTCAGTATATCTTTATCAGGGAATAAGTAATGTGTTAACTGTTTATAGAGGGAGGGATTTCCTGCTCATTGCTATACTAACCATCTGGAGGAAGGCTGGCAGGAAAGTAGGTCCATTCAATGCTGGCTTTGAGGAACAAGAGGAGAACTTTCTGTAATGAATCTCCAAAGATGAGTCAGGGGCAAGGAAAGCTTTTAGAAGAGAAATCAGAGTGGGACAACAGGCAGGAAATATCCATGTGTAGGCTTAGCTAGGTACTGTTAATCAAAAATATTTTGGTATTGGGGGAAATTCATGGGATCAAAAAAAAAAAAAAAACCCCAAAAAACAAAAAAACCCCAAGTTGCCAGGAAAGTACCTTATTCTAGAGATTATCTCTTCCACAGATCACCTGTGTCTGTTTTTGTCCCAGTCTCTGCCTCTAGGGAATCTCACCTAAGACAACGGAGATACAATTGAGCAAATAGAAACTGAGAATTGTGAAAATTAAAGACTTTCTCACTGTTCTCCCTCGCTGACCTTTTGCTGCTTAGTTTGTCCAATAGCCTTGGGAGATACTTGATTCTTCTGGACATACAACATATGGACACAAAGTTTCTAGGAAAAAGTTCTCAGTACATTTCCCAAGGACTTTACCATTTCTAGAAGTTAACTAGCATTGCCTCATGAGGTTTTCTTCCTGTAGCCTGCTTCTTTATAGATTGAAAATAATTTGTTCTAAAAATCTTGTACCTTTATACTTTGAAATATGTGTTTTTCCCCCCATCTCCATTGCTCCCTTGTTCCTTTTATAAAGGGCAAAGCTTATCTTTGCCATTCCATTTCCTCAAGGACATGCAGAGAGTAATGACCTATTGCATGCAGTTCCATGCCAACTGGGTGCTCCTTGACTTTTTGTGGTGTTGGGTAGTCAATTCCTTTTTTGTGGCCTCATTTCTTCATTTCATTTTGTATTTACATTGAAGCTATCATCACAGTTTTGTCAGAAAGATTAGTGCTATATATCAGCAAGAGAGGTGTCATTAGCCAGAGGAAAACAATTGGAGAATTCCAGGTCTTTTTCTTAATTCCAAAAGAAAACACTGGCCAGAGTTCTCCAGAAAGGCATGAAGCAATAGAATATATACAAACTTAGTGATACATGAGAGAAGGTTCATGACTTGAGAGAATATGGAGACTGTTTCTTGAAAGGCCTTCTGCAAGCAGGAGAATGGGGGAAGTCAGAAGTGTGGCTCAGTCCAAGGCCAAAGACCTGAGAAGCTGGGTGGGGGAGAAGTGAAGCAGACATTGGTTCAGGTCTCAAAATCTGACAGAAGAAGGGTGTCCCAGCTAAAGAAGGGAAAATGAATTCACCTTTCCTCTGCCTTGTTGTACTACTTGGGCCCTTAGTTGATTGGATAGTGCTTTGCCCAATTGGGTGAGGTTGAATCTTCTTAATTAGTCAATTGATTCAAATGTTCATCTCTTCTGGAATCACCTTAAGAGATCATCCAGAAATGTTGCTTCACCAGCTGTCTGGGCGTTCTGAATCCCAGAGATGAACCTCAAATTAACCATCAGGACCCCTTCTGTATATGAACTCATGTCCTCTGGAAACATCTTTCTAAAAAGAAAGTGGCTGCTTTTCTTTTTCTTTGAACTATCCATCTTGAAATTTTAATTCAGTTTTGGCCACAGGTAATGGGCTTTATGTCTTTTAGTATTCTGTATCTATTAAGTATTTTAATTTGCTGGTTAAAGAGGCTGAGTTATGTTTAACAATTGGAAATTAATAGTGAATAATTTATGACAGATTCTCAGAACTCTTAGGTTTCCCCCACCTTTTATAACAATTATCCCCTAGCTTCCCCATTATTTGCTTCCAGTAAGATCTTTTTATTTTTACTTTTAACATGATAATTGTACATACTGATGGGGTAGGGTGTGGTATTCCAACACATATACAATGTTCAATGATCAAATTAGGGTAATTAGGGTATCTCTTACCTCAAACACTATTTCTTTGGGTTGGAAACACTCAAAATTATTTTAGTTATTATGATGTAAAATAAATTATTAATTGTAGCAACCCACTGTGCTACAGAACATTAGAACTTAATCCTATTATCTCCTCATACCCATTGAATAGCCCTTCTCTTTTCCCTCTCCCCTAACCACTTCCCAGCCTCTGGTTAACACTGCTTTGTACTTTCTATATGATCAACTTTTTTAGCTTCCACACATGAAGGAAAACATGTAATGTTTGTCTCTTCCATGCCTGGCATATTGCTAGTGAAATTATTTATATAATACAAGCTACCTATATCCATAATTAAAAAATCAATATACCACCTTTCTGTACTACATAATTAGTTTGTATTTCAGTGTAAAGTGGCACTGACTATTGAAGAAAGTAAAGAAACATTCTTGAATCTCCGGTTCATACCGCTGTGAGTACAACACTACAGTACAGACTGACACAGTGTGCTGTTTTGAGGATTCAGATGCCACAAACAGTATTGGCCAGGGATACCTATGTTTCAGAAATGGAGTAGAACTATTGATAAAGCTTAAAAGAATTGTAAGTATAATTTACAGAATAGTTGGATTCTTGAGAAATTTGGTGTATTAAAACCAGGCAATACAAAATACATAATATGTTACAATTTAACAATTGGTTCCATTTTACAGTTTATATCTAATTCCACAATCTTTTTTTTTTTTTAAGAGAGAAAGAGAGTTTTTTTTTTAATATTTATTTTTTAGTTTTCGGTGGACACAACATCTTTATTTGATCAAACCCAGGGCCACCCACATGCCAGGCAAGCGTGCTACCGCTTGAGCCACATCCCCAGCCCCACAGTCTTTCTTATTTTTAAAGGTCTGTGAATCTCTTGTAGGTACAGAACATTTTTTTTTGTCCTGTGAGTATAACCAGGGAAAATCTAGCAGGGATTGCTCCTATAAATGCTTAAAGCATCACTTTAGTCACTTTTAATCAGAATGCCTCTAGAAATTTCTAAAACTGCTAAGTGGTAGTAAAGCCTATTGAGAATTATTGGTTTACAGAAAAAAATGAAATAAAACAAGCTATTATTCACCTAATTTCAAGGATATTTCTAACTGGAGTAGTGACAAGAGTGGAATTAATAATTACTACCTTTTATTGAGGTGTCAAATGGAACAATTTCTAAGATCTCAAATATTTCTCTCAAGATGAAGTGAAGGGAATTTTGAATTTTAAGTGCTTGAGGTTTGGTGGCCAAAAACTGAGTTGGATAAAGGCATAAACTTCAGTACCCAGTGAGTGTAGCTCACTTATAAAAATTGGCAGAAACTTACTTACTGTTAAGTTTAAGTTTGGATAACCTGGTCAATAGATGACCCAAAGTCCTGATTTTCATGGACCTATTCTGAGTAGACATGGAGTTGATGTATATACAAGTCCTTAACATTGCTTATCACATATGGCCCAGGGCTAAGGCTGGCAGGAAATCCCTTTGAGCTTCCCTTCATTTTCAGTCATTTCTTTCTTACCTGTCTCCCTTTCTTCTGCTCTTCAATAGCAGCCTCTTAAGCAACGTAATTGATAGCAATTCATATGTTTGTATGGATATGCCTGACTTGTATTTTTAGTCAAAGTTACTTCCATAGGGACATATATGATGCTTAAACGCTTATTTTGGTTGGTGCTCTTGAGGAATGTTAGATTTTTAGGTGGTACCTGTTTATCTTAGTGTAACTTTTATGTGCTTTAGATCTTTCAGTTAATAAACTAGTTAATGTTTTAGAAAGAGATGGGGAAAAATAAATTAAAACCATAAGATGCTTTGTCATTTGCTGGAATCAGTTCTAGTGATTTGATTGTGTGGTGTTCTTGTAGCTTTCAGAATCGGGGAAGTAGAAGTTTATTTACTTTCTAATTTTTCTGGTACACAACAGCTCTTTCAAAACAGTACAAGATAGCTTCAGGTTCAGCTGTTGTAAAAAAATAATTAAAATTGTGAATCCTAATAACCTTAGGAAAGGCAGAAATTTGCAACTGTCTAATTATCCATAGTGATGTGAATATAACTTTAATAGCCTGCTGTGAATTTAGATTTTCTGGTAAGCATTTTACCTGTTAAACTCATCTAGAATACTTTCTTCTCTCTCTCCAGCTTTCCTCTCTCTTCCTTTCTCTAGGCAGAATTACACGTAAATCATTTCAAAACAATTAATGCTGCTTTAGTCACAAATTATTGATTTTTCCATTCATAGCGTATATAGAATTGCCGCACTATTTAGATTCTAAAACCAGGCATTTTAATTGTGTTTTCCAGGAAGATATGAATTTAAATGAAGATAAAAAGGCACCATTGCGGGAAAAAGACTTCGGTATCAAAAAAGAAATGGTGATGCAGTACATTAATACTGCTTCTAAGACAGTAAGTAAAACTGTCAAGTTGAAAAATATTGCTGAAACATGATGTTGTGTGGAAAACAATGCCTTTGTTTAATGAAGTACTGAAGTGTGTGTGCCACTGTAATCAGAGGGCTTTTGAATGTATGATTAAAGGCACATGAAGTGTAATACATTTGTTTAAAAATATTGCCCATCTTATAACTTTTAAACTATGTTTTTGACCAGTTACATTGGTAAGAAACATTGTGGTCTACTGTAAGAGATCTTTCCTTGTTGGTGAATTAAGATGAGCATTGATTTCCAATGTCACCTATAAACAAGCATAATATTTGTATTGTAGGAAAATGAGGCTAATTTTATTCTACCTAAATCAGAATACATAATGGGTATACTTTTAATGTGAGCTTCTTGAAGGATAAAATTATCTTGTAACAAATTATAAGTGCAGGTATTGAAAGGAGCGTTGAACTTCCACATGGCTGCCAGGTTTTCAGGAAAACATAAAATATGTGGGCAGAAATAATGACTAAATATCTAAGAAACCATGACTGGCATAGAGAATCAATGCATTCATTTCATGGAGCAGCAAATGAACTTGACTAGTCATGTACAAATTGTAAATAAATGAATTGGATGAAAAATATAAAATGGACACTAAGAAAGAAGTGAAAGACAGTAGAAAATGACCATGGCTAAATTTAAAGTAGAATTGAATTAGAAAAGAGCAGCTTAACACACTAGTTTTCACAGAATACTTTATCCTAAGGCCTGGTTACAAGGACATAAGTTATTTATACTTTAACTCCATTTATCTACTAGACTAGTCTGTGAATCTGAGGTATTTCTTTTGGAAGAAAGATTCAAGTGGTGTTTAATTTTTAAACATGTCTCACATTTTGGTAGCCTGATCAGTTGTAGAAATCACTGTGAGTACTGTGCTTTGTCCAGTTCTTTATATAGATGGGCTCAGTGTCCTGCTGTTTAGATGTTGATACTAAGTGCTTTTGCCCCTTAATGATACACATAGACATTGCAGGTCAGCATTAAGGGTATATGAGTCAGAGCTCTGTTGTTTTGATCTGCTTATTTATCTTGTTTGACCCCAGGCATCTTATTTTACTTCTCCAAGCTTTAATTTCTCATTCTTAAAATGGGAAAACCTACAACATACCCTTATTATCAGCATTAAATCGTTTATTCCAATTTTAAACTGGTGGCTGCTGCTTGTGGTAGTGCTTAGTAGCAATTGTTTTTCCTTGTGATTTTTTTTATTCTTGGTATTTAAATCATACCATAATTAATAGTATGTGCAAAAGTATATAAGTAATAATACACATTTACTACTTATAAGTTCACATCTTTGAGATAGTCATTTTCTTATGTTTACTGAGTGTCCAAATGTCAGGCAGTCTTTTTAGGCACAGGAGATGGGGCACTAAGATATTCTGCTACTTGTCATTGCGCACCTTTAACTGAAACACACAGATATACATGTAATAGTAGGTGAAATGCGATGTGCAAAAAGAGTGAGAAGAGATGATGGAACTGTATAGGATAGTCAGTAAAGACAACTATTAGGGAATTTTAAATCTACCAATCATGAATTTACTAAATAGAAGTACGAGGAATACTACATCAGAACTGGTTTAGAAAACCTGATATATTAATATATTTTAATTCTGGAATTTGAGATAATAAACTTCTAAGAGAAAAACAAACTGTTTTGGACTTCATAATAGTGGATCTATTTCAGTTTGCATTTGCTAATTTTAACTTTTAATCCTTTAATCATTTTGGTCTAAGATTAGACTTTATTTATCAAAATTGGGTAATTAAATTATCAGACTTGAGTAAATTAGTTATCTAAAGGATCATTACAGCATTGACTCATCTAATTAGTGTGTGGAGGATCATGACTTTTTCTAGGAGAGTTCTGAATAATTTGGCAGATGGTTAACATTATAGAAAATTCAAACTGACCAATCATGTTTCTGCTTGGGAAGTAGAAACACATTTTATTAACTCTGTAGACTTTGTCATGCCACTTTATTTATATTAATGACTATTGAAAAAGTTAGTGTGAAAAACAGAGCCAAAATTTGTAGATGGGTTGTTCTAGAGAGGATAATGCCAAGTACGTGTCAAGTAAATTTATTATTTGATTTTTGCTTTGAGATATTTTTCCTTCCCGGGTAGTCATTAAGATTATCACTGATACCTGCAGTTGATTTGGAAATATTTATAAACATTAATCCTAAAAGTAGGCCTAAAGTAGGTAAGGTTAGTTTTTAGAATAAAATGGGAAAAAATAGGGAAAAAATGGCATCGCTCAAACTAGTTATTACCAAGACTTATGTGTGAGTTTTGGTGGTCAAGATGCAATACTGACTTTCTGCAGTTAGGAAGGTTTATTAAATTAAGAAACGATCATATTAGTGGCTGACAATGTCAGATTCATTTTTTTCTAATTTTGTAGGGCATAGGCATGTGTTTGTCTAGTACATGGTATGGGGCTTCTGAGAAATATTTCCCCTCCCTCATTTAAGGACCCCACTTTGGAGAGCTGTTCCCTCTGTGCTAAATAGTTATGCAAGGTTATGAGGTGCTTGCAGAGTGGGATCCTGGAACTGCTGCTCTGGCCCAGTGAAGTCCTCTTTCTAGCCCCTTCCATCATGTGAAGTGAGACATGTTTTTATTTAAGCTGCTTTGAGTTCTTTTCTTTGTTGATGTAATGGCTTCATATGTCATCCATATACATTTTTGCCTATGTGGGATCTCTCTAATTCGCTCTGACAATTATAAGGACATTGTAAAAACCCTACCGTTACCCAGCATGTGTTCACTCAGAGAATAGATGACAGAGGTACTACTGGCCCTGTGTTCATTCTCTGGTAAATGACTCACTGAAGAAAATTTTTTTCATAGAGAATATACAATTTACTTAGGTTTGAGTTTCTAGCTGGAGAGTGAGACTACTGTGCAGTTGGTAATAAGGATCTTGAAAAAAGTTAAGTAGATTAGACAAAGGGGAATGAAGGAAAGGGCAGGAGAATATGAAATGGAAAGATAGTGGAATGAATCTGATGTAAATTTCCTGTGTGCATATGTGAATACACCATAGTGAATCTCTCCATCATCTACATCCATATAACTGGGGTCCCAATTAGAATAAGATATATTCCATGCTTGTATAATTATATCAAAATGGACTCTACTCTTGTATACAACTAAAAGAACCAATAAAATAAAAAATAAAAAAATGAAAACTAAAGTGATTGTGAAGAGATAGGCAAAATGGAAGATAATTCACAGTTGCCAGAAAAAGTAAGAGGAAACTTATGGAGCAGAACAGGCTGTGGTCTCTTAAGCCACTATTATGAAGAGCCATTTCAGAAAACACTCGAAGCCCGAATTCAAATCAAAGAGAGCTTTATTTACCTGGCCAGGGACTGTCACCCACCCATAAAGACTGAAGCTCTGTGGGAGAGCAGCAATTTCCTGGCCTGTGTCTTGGGAATTTAAGTACAAAAACCAACTTGGTTAGCTACATCTTGGGTCCGAGCAGGTGTTAGACAACTGTATCCTGAGTTTGGTCAGTTAGTGGGGGTGAAAATCTACTTCAAAGTCTTGGGTCACCAAGACCACCATATCCTGGGTTAAGTACATTTTGTGGGGTACAAAATACAGTAAACAATATATTATATGAAAACAACTTTCATTTCAGTTTCTCAGAAACAAATCTTGTAACAGTTTTTATAGAAGGCAGCAAAATAGTGTCTTAGGCCTATGACAGTTCTTGCTTTATAATTGCCTTATCTCACTTATCAAAATCTTATATCTATAATATATGTTTTTTACTAATCCGTAACCTATAACTTAAACTCTTATTGATTGTATTTATCACTTCACACCATGACAGCCACAGCTGCATAGGATTTTCACTGTTTTCCAAATGGAAGGGACTGAGAAATGGTTAACTGAACCATAAGTATTGTTATTATTATTTTTTTAGTGTGGCTTATTTTTCATTCTTGTCTTCCCTTAAAATGCTTTAAGCAGTTCTTCAGATATTGCTAAAATATGGTTTTTATAGTCAAGATTCTTGTGCTTTATGTGGACAAACCAGATTTGGGAGATGGATCCTAATATTTGCTGCCTTTTCTTGGTTTTGTCTTCTTTTTCTCTTGTATTGGGTACATCAAGCCCTGTGTCTGTGACATTAGGGTTTATGTCAGTGCTTATTTTCTTATTGGTATTTTGAGCTGTGTTTAGGGTGAGCTGGCTCCATCTACATCATGTCTGAATAATGTAATACAGTCTCCTATGACAGGGTTCACAGGAAATCTTGGATTAATTTATTCATAATTAAAGAATGTATTAAAAAGGACTACTGTTCATAATAAGATTGAGAGTGAGATATTTGCTTTATCACAAAGAATTAGTAAAATATATATGCTATATTTTCCTATCTGTTGAGAGGAAAGAGTCTTTGTGTTCCACCCTGAGGTCTTTCAGGCTAATCTGTGGCAATGCAGAACTGCAGAAGGCCTGAGAGTTGAAATCCTTCATGCCAGAAGAGTACAAGGAACCCCCTGAAAGGAATGGGAGATCCTGTGTAGAGGAAGAGGATCAGAGGGAGTAGGATTTAAGAGGAATGAGGAGAACCTGAAAGATATCTGTGTGGTATCTTTGTGTGCATGAAGAATTTCTGGGAGAGAGTGAAAAATGTGAAGGGATTTTTGATGGAAAGTGCTTTCCTGCTATCTTGTATAATGTGTTATGTCTCCCTTCAGCAGAGATGAACCTTTGCTCATTAGTGAGTTAGGACTTGAATTTCCCCCAATTTTTTGTACATTAATATGAAACTGTCCTGCTAGTTTGCAACTAGACTGCTTTCTGTTAGCATGTAGCCTTCTTTTTTGGCTGTGGATAAAATACTTTAAATATTTCTCTTTGAAATGCATTCTTCTAGTAAAAGCCCTTCTGAATGCAGTAGCATGTTGCCAGAGACTGCCATAGGGT